TGGAGAAATTGGAACCCTTGTGTTTGTACGAGTGCAAAATGGAAACCAGAATCCTAACAACATTAAAAATAGAACTACCATGTGACCCAGCGATCCCGCTGCTGGGTATTCACCCAAAAGTACTGAGATCAGGATCTCGAAGAGATACCAGCACCCCTGTGTTCACTGCAGCTCTATTCACAACAGCCAAGATGTGGAAACAACCTAAGTGTCCTTCAGATGAATAGATAAAGTGTGGTTTATACACACGATGGTACACTGTTCAGCCTCAAAAAGGAAGGACATTCTGCAACATGTGACAACAGGGATGAACTCTGAGGACATTATGCTAAAGAAGCTGTCACAGAAAGACAAATACTGCCTGATTCCACTCACATGAGGTGTCTGTAAGAGTCAAGATCGTAGAATCAGAGTGGAATGGTGGTTGCCAGGCGCTGGGAGGAGAAGGAAATGGGGAGGTGCTAATCTACGGGCGTGAAGCATTAGTTAGACCAAGTGAAGAAGTTTTGGAGATCTGCTGTACAACCCTGAACCTGGGATCAACCACGCTGTATCACACATTTAAAACTGTGCAGAGGGTAGAGTCCACGTTAAGTATCCTACCACAATAAAATTAAGAGGAAATCCAGACGCAGTGCTGGGTCAACCCTCAGTTCTAATCTGGTGGGTCTGGGCTGGGGCACAGGCAGACAGGGGAACAGGTGCGGCTCCACCTGCTTACGGCTGTGCTCTGCTCTTCGCAGTAACCGCTCCCGTGGATTGAGCATCCACAGAGATGCTTCAGGTATTCCCCCCTGAGAACTAAGGAAACTGAGAGGTGAAGTTAGTTTCCCTGGTCCCCCAGCTGGTAGCCACTAGGGCCTGTGTTTGTCCTCAGGTCAGCCTGACTGCAAAGATTGCCCCTGGCTGTGCCCCGTGGCCTTGCAGCAGGGGCCCCTGTAGGGTGTGGACACGGTGGCACGTGCCCTTCCATTTCACATCTCTGTCCCGCAAGCTTTAGGGTCGACAACATCACTCTTGTCCCAGGCTTGTCCACATGGAACTGTCATCATTCAGATGAGGGAAGGGGGCGGTCTGTGGCTCAGCATTAAGAAAGAACTTCCAAGCAGTTGAAGGAGTTTGACGGTGAGTGGTGAGGTAGGCTGCCTGGGGAGGCAGCAGGCACCCGCCAACATCACCATCGCGGGGTAACCACCGGGAGGATCCGGTGGAAGAAGAGGCAGCCTTCAAAGTAGTGTGGGGGTGGGGTAGAGGCGGGCAAGAGGGGTTAGAGGCGCCAACTATGTCCCCAGGACCTGAAACTGAGGGGCTCGGTTGGGGGCAGGTAGCTAGTAAAGCTCACATGATTCTAGAAGATGAGCTCACAGAACCGGAGAGTTCCAGAAGGCCCTGCATCAGTCTGGGGTCTGCCCTTTCCCATCATTCTCTGAAAGGTGGGTGCCCGGGGCCCCAGCAGGATCGCGGGGGTGTCCTGAGCTGAAGCAGGGTGTTGGACCACTGCTGTTACTGCCACTGTCACTGCTGTGTCAGCTCTGGTGGGGACGACACCTGATCAGTGAGCCCCCTTTCCCCCTTTCCTGTGGCTGTTAACCAGGACCCTGGGCTGGGCTGGCCAGAGAGGGGTGTGGAGAGAGAGAGATGGTGGGCAGAGATGGGGGGGCGATCCTGGGCTGGTGGTGGTGAGTTGAGAGAGAAAGATGTGGAAGACCGTGCTGGCGGGTCTCTGATCTCCGCATCACCAGACCCGACTTCTTACACCTCTAGACCTGCTGTGAAATGTGCAGGATGCATGACTTTTAAGTTACTCTGCTACAAAAAAAAAAAAATCAGAAACTGTTTCTGTAGAGCAGTCAGCTTGATTGCTTCATCTCTAGGTAGGGGATAGTAATCCAACCCACCTTGAAGTGTTGAGAGGATTAGATGAGATTAAGCTAGAAAACACCCAGAGAAGGCCCAGCTCGGTGTCTGCCAGATTTTAAGAACTCAGAAGAGTGTCTTCCTCCCTCTCATCCCCCATACTTTGATGGGAAGGATTCATGCTCTTGTGGTCACGATGTCAATATACTTCAGTCTTAAGAAGCACCATTCAACAGCCCATCCATGCCGGCAACTCTGCTTGACTCTTAGGATAAGAAGATAAATGAGACCACCATTGTTCTTTGGAAGTTCACCTTGGAGTGGGAAAGACTAGCATATTTTGCAGTCTCATGGGCAGACACACAGGGTGCTTTGGGAGTGCTGGGTGGGGGTGGTGTCCTCCTGGGAGAGTCTTGCTGGGGAAGTCACCTCTGATGTGACCCTTGAAATATGAGTAAGAGTTAACCCTGGAACGGCATGGAGAGGGTTACTGTCCTAGACAGCAGGGTGGTCATGAGCGAATGGTAATTACTGGAACTTAATGGGTCTTTGGGGAGAGGTCATCAGGGCTGGGTTGTGCGGGTCCTTGTGGACCATGGGAGCAGTGATGAAGGAAGCCATCACAGGATGTCACGTGGCCAGGCTTTGTATTTAAAACATTCATGCTGGTGAATGCCTGTAGAATAGTCTGGGAAAAGAGTCAGGACTGGGTAAAAGGAGATGCTCAGCACTCCAGGATGGTGGTCTGAACTAAGGGAAGACGTTGCTCTTGGAGGGAAGGTAGAATCAATAACCTGTTGCGACTGACTCGTTGGGGATGGGTGAAAGATGTAGCAATGGAGAGGAGTGAAGAATGGCATTCCTGATTCTAGCTTGGACATTGTTATCTCTAGTTTGGACATTGCTATGTCTAGTTTTAAATCAAAAACCAAGATTGAGTTTAAAACCAAGAATGTTTTAAACCAAGAAAAGAAAGACATAAGGAAGAGGAGATTATCGTGGGAACGTTCATTTTGTCTTGGATGTGCTTAGTTTTAGGTGACTGTGCGATAGCCAAGTGGAGACGTCCAGGAGGCAGTTACCTAGGAGGTCGGCTGCTCTGGGGAAGATCCTGTCATCCTGCAGGGGGCAGTGAACAGTGGGGCTGCCCAGAGGGTACTTGAACTGGAAGAGAGGAGGGCTCAAGGGAGAAACACCTGGGAAATGTATCCGCGTTTAAGATCCGGGAAGAAGTGGATTCCACAAAGGGGAATCAGAGGACCCTGGGAGAGGGGGAGCATCCTGGAGGCTGAGAGAGGCAAGAGTGGGGTGGCAGCGGCGTGAAAGGCTGCTGAGAGCCCGCATGAGCCAGGAACTGACAAGGTCCATTGGACTGGGCGGAACAGTGTCGGGGCAGGGGTCGTGGCGGTGATGCTAAATTTCCCTGGGTGAGAAAATCGTAAACTTCCCCCTAGAAGTTTAGATGAGAAGAGAGGGAGGGAGACAGGTCAGTATAGAGTCCAGGGAAGGTATTTTAGAGGCTGGAGACTTAAATGTGTCTGCAGCAGCAGAGGAAACAGGAGCTGGTGGAGAGGAGATGCCGGTGAGGCTGAGAGGAGAGGTGGCCGGTGCAACAGGGCTCAGAGATGGGAAAGGATGAAACCCAGGGCTCGGCGGAGAGACGGAGGCACCTACACTTGGGGAAGGTGAAGGCGGTTGAGGCTTCTGCCGCACATGTGAGTGGGATGGGGCGATGGCAGAAAGTGGAAGGAAATCCCACCTGTGACCACCTTGTTCTTCTCAGGGACAGCCGGGTGGGGGCTCAAGGACCACAGTAGGGTCGTGAATATGCTTGGAGGGAAAGGGGAGAGAGGAAACTGCCCTAGACCAGCGTCAGTGCCGGGGCCAGCAGCACTGGAAGCCGCAGCCAGCCTCGTTCTCGTGCAGAGCCCAATCCTCCCGGTGCCCTTCCTTTCTCATTCCTTCTCCACAATCTGATGAGGCAGGCGTTATTAACTTCCTCACTTTATAGAGGAAGAAAATGAGGTTCAGAGGGGGTCTCTAGGTCGTGGTGGGCTTCCTGCGGAGACAAGACTTACTGCAAAGCGCACCCTTGTCCTGTAACCCTCAGGGTCTTGGGCCACCCATTCACAGGGACACCCACTCCCAAGGTTGTTTTGTTTTTGGAGTCTATGAAGGTGGAGGGCAAGGCGGGGGGCAGAGGTCGTGAGAGACGTGGAACGCATGTCAGGGGTGCTGGGGGAGAGACTGGAATCGGAGGTTGCAGAGATGGGGGCTGAGGGGGAAGATGTGATGCAGGGATGAGGCCATGGGAGCAGGTGGCTTCGACAGTGGAGGCCAAGTGCATCACCAGGTGCGAGGACACCATGATGTTGGGACTGGCCTGCAGAGCCAATGATGAGAGGCGTGGGGGGCAGACCTCATGGGGTGAGGCGAGCGTCATGGGAGGCAGGGCTTCTGCAAGGTGATGGTTTAGAAGGGGCAGCGGGCTGGAGGAGAGTTTCAGCACCGCCTTGGGGGCCCAGGTGCAGGAGGAAGAGCAGCCCCCACTTGTGAGGCTGCAGGGTGGCAGTGCCCTAGGGGGAGACCTGGCTTCAGTTCAGACCCGAAGGGGGAGGCTCAGCGCTAGGAAGTCCTTCCATGGCCGTCGGGCTGGGGATTGATTTACTCCAGTGCCGCTGCTCGGCCGCCCGCTCTGGGAACACTGCTCACGGCCATCGCCTGGGGGCTTTGGAGTTTCACATAAACTTTGGTCTCAGTCCAAACTTTGTCCCTTCTTAGTTGTGAAATCTTGGGCTGCAGGATTCAGTTAACACCTGGCATGTAGCATGGAGCTCAAAGTATATGTTTTCTCCGCGTTTGCCCGCCTCTGCTCTCTGCTGCCGGGGCAGGGGGTATAAAACGCTGGGCTGGGAAGGGAGAGGGGCTGGCCGCTGGGAACCCTCTCCTGGCTCTCGGGGTGTGTGGTGTGGAAGGGGGTGGCTGATGCTTCATCAGCTACAAGGGGTCCGGCGGGCAGCGTGGGAGCCTTCCGCCCACTTCCTGGGTACACTCAGGCCCCGTCTCCCTCTCCTTCCCAGGGACAGCCCTCCGTGAGCGGACAACCCCCCAGAGCCGCTGAGCTGCCAGCCACCCCAAAGCCCAGCTCTGAGCCAGTATAGCGGGGGTTCACCTCGGCTGCCGCCCGCATGGAAGCCGGGAGCTGGGCTCCCAGAAGGCGGCCGTGCCCGCCTGGGATCGTGTTGGTGGCCTTGGCCTCTCTGCTCAGCTGCCCGCTCACCCCCGGCCAGGCCAAGGTCTACAGTCGCTGTGAGCTGGCCAGGGTGCTCCAGGATTTCGGCCTGGATGGATTCCGAGGATACAGCCTGGCCGACTGTGAGGACCCCTCTTCCCTGCACGGCTCTCAGGCTCCCCCAACACTCGAGGGGTGTGGCCTTGGGAGCTTCGGGGCCTCAGTTCTCCTTTATAAAACAAGGGTCCCATGAGTCAAAAGGCAGAGAAAACCCAGGGTCGAGGTAAATGCAGAGCAGGCAGGTGATGGGCGGCCCGACCAGAGCTGCGCCTTCGCTTTCCCCCTCTGTCAAGTCAGGAGCTCGAGGAAGAGGAAAAGAAAAAAATGGGGGAAAAAAAAGAAAAGGAAAAGTAACCACAGGAAAATAGTTGTTTTGTACCCTGATATGATTCTGAATCACAGTCACTAGGATCAGACGGTCCCACTGAAGTTTAGTGCAAACTGAGCAAACGAGAAAGACCAAATTTTCTAGCTGGTGGCGGTTTTGGGAAGCTTCGAGGTATGGCCACACGCAGCTCATTTTTACCCCTAGTTCCAGCCCTCTCTGTAGGTCCCACCTGTGCTTTCCTAATTGCGTCTCTAAAGACTGAGCTCCTGTTCATGTCACAAACATTTCTGGGGTCCTACTATGTGTGGAACAGGGAGACAGTGGGAAGATTGCTGGCCTGGGAGTCCGGAGGCCAGAGGTCCGGTCCTGACTCTTGCTGTTTGGTAGCTGTAGGTGACTTTGAATAAGTCCCTTTGCTCCTCTGAGTGTCGGCAGAGTCCTGTGTTAAGGAGGTGGGAGGGTGTCTGCCCCCATCACCAGAGACCGGAGCTGAATCTGGGAGGAGCTGATGTGCGGGGTCTGGCTTGGCCTCGATCGTGAAACAGCTGATCCGCAGGTTTGTGTCTCTACCCTCTGCAGGGATCTGTCTTGCTTACTTTGCAAGTGGCTTCAACACCGGTGCCGTGGACCACGAGGCTGACGGAAGCACCAACAATGGTATCTTCCAGATCAACAGCCGGAAGTGGTGCAAAACTCTGGACTCCAGTGGCCCCAACATGTGCCACATGCACTGCTTCGGTAGGCTGGGCCTGAGCCTGGGGCTGGCGGGGGCTGGGTTCTGCACCTGCCTTTGCGTCTCCCCCAGTCGTGTTTGCTCCTCCTGCCTTTGTGTCTGAGTGGGGACCCCCACAGCCTGCCGGGCCCACCACGGAGAGCGGGGTGGGGCCAGTGATGAGGGTGGGTCCTCCAAGGATCTGACTTGGGGTCCCAGAAGGGATGCTGTCCTGATAGCTATGGGAATGCAGTGGGGATTGCTTCTGATGGGGGAAGTGACAGACAGACCTGTGCTTCCAGAGGGGTCGAGGGACAGGGCTGGTTTAGGATGGAAGAGGGTGTGTGTGGGAAGAGACAGACAGACTTTGGATGTACAGCTCTGCCTCCTGCTCCCTCATTGTGTTTCTCTGCCTCCCATCCCAGACTTACTGGATCCTGACCTCAAGGATAGTGTTATCTGTGCCATGAAAATAACTCAGGATCCCCAGGGTCTGGGTTCCTGGTGAGTAACAAGTAGCCCCGCCATCTTGGGGGTTGTGTGTGATGGACAGAAGCGGGGCTGGGGATGTGGGCTGTGGAGGAGGAATAGGGACAGGTGATATGTGGCCAGTGAGGGAGAGGAGGAGGTAAACAGGACAATAAATACAGAGATGGACCAAGATGGGCCTTGCCAACTACCACAGCTTTGGAGACGTGTTAGTTTGAGGACGTTGAAGCCCCAGGAACTGAATCTGGAATAAGGCAGGCCCGGCAGGACGTAATGCACATCTCTAAAATCAGGAAGGGTGAATGCAGGCTCAGGCAGGACTCCAAGGGCTTGAGGCCTTGGGGACACCACCCTGGGATGGAAGAAACAAGTTCTTTTGTGTTAAATGAAAGAATAACTCTTTTGTGCTCTGGGAGTAAATTTTTGGCACGCATAAGCCCTGAGAGGTGGCTGCGGCTAATACGAGTGGTCCCGGAAGGTCGGAGGGTGGTGTTTACTCCTTCCTACACACCCCCGAGAACTCACCTGAGGCAGGCTCTGTGCTGGGTGCTGGGCTTCAGACGTGGCTGAGACCCAGTTCTTTGCCCTCAAGGGTCTCAGTTTGGTGGAAGCGACAACCGAGCCAGTCAACCCCTCTCACTTGCTAGATTTAGCGGGTCCTTTAGGGGCATTGCTTGCCATTGGGCTCTTTGACACTGACATCACAGAGGACACTAGTGATGGAACCCCTGGGAACTTGGGACCCTGGGATCTTGCTTGTTGTCCTCGAGATGCCAGTGTGACACTGGAACAAGGTAATGGTCCTGAAAGAGCCTGTAAATTATAGTTACCAACCGTTGAAAGACCCAGATCGGTAGCCAAGGAGAATTGGATGGGTCATTTACAAGCTGCGGACCTCGGGCAAGTAATTTTGCATCTGAGTCTCAAGGTTTTCACTTGGAATATGGGGAACAGAATACTTGCCCAATCCACCTTGTTTGTAGGGCTGCTGGGGAGGGGGTGGGTGGCAGATAAATGGGTGATGGGTAGGACAGTGCTGTGCAAACTCTAAAGGGCTGTAGACACATGTGAGGGCACCATTGTCTGCTGAAGTGGCGTCGTGAGGGAAAAGAGCCCTGGGTTGGGGCTCTGGGCCCCAGGACCCCAGGCCTCGTCACTAGCTTCTGGGTGAACTTGAGCAGATGGCTCTGTATCTCTACAGGTAAAAAAAAACGGAGGCTAGGTAGACAACTTTTTAAGGGCCATTCTCTTCCCTGTTTTTTTTTTTTTCCCTACTTCTTCTTCGCTATTTAACAGAGTTTACTTGGCTCTCTTCCCCTGCTGGTCCCTTTCCTCACCTCACTTCCGGTGTAGAGCCCCCTGCCGCCTGCCCGTCCTCCTCTGGGCAAAGACCTCAGGCTGCAGCTGACGGGGCCTCTCCTGCTCCCCCTCTTCCACCCTCAGGGAGACCTGGAGGCATCACTGCCAGGGCATCGACCTCAGTGACTGGGTGGATGGCTGCGATTTGTAGGATCCTCTCCGGATGGACAGCGCATACCTAGCAGCCTGGGAGGATGCGGTCTGCTTCCTGACCCAGGCCTAGGGAGACAAGCCGACTAATAAAGCATAGTTTAACAGGTGTGTGGTTCTCAGCCGTCACTGTGTTCCCAGGTGGCATATTGGAGCCAGAAGCGTCTCAGGGCTGCCTCACTGCTCCCGTGGGCTGGGGTTCAGCTGGGCTCGGGAGCTTGCCTCCATTCCTGGAGGCCTGGGCAGAGGGCAGAAGGATGCTAGCGCCTCCCCTGTCCACACCTGGCAGAGTTTCCTTGATCCTCTACCTGGACCTAGGTTCGCTAGATTTAGGAAAAAAACAAAAAACAAAAAGAAGCAAGCAAAAACAACAGTGACAACAACAAAAACAAGATGCCCAAGTTAAATTTGAATTTTGGATATATAACAAATACATTTTATGATACGCATGTCCCAAATATTGCAAGGGACCCACTCATATTAAAGCGTAATTTGTTGTGTACCTGAAATTCAAATTTAACTACGTGTCCTATATTTTGCCTGGCAGCCTCACCTGGGCCTGGTGTTGTGTACCTCTGGGTTGTTTGGGAGGGTCCTTGGGACACTTATTTTCTGTGGTTCTGGTCACAGAGGGTGGCCATGGTGCCCTGGCCTTCTAGCTGGTGACCACAGCCACCAATGGGTAGTGCACAGTGACTGAAGATGATCACCAGGGGTTTCAATGGGGCCTCACCCTGCTCTCTAGTGTCCTCTGGTGGCAGGAGATTCAAGTGCCACTGATAGTGATGGTGGCCGTCACAACCTGGGTAAAGAAGCCATCGTTTATACTGCCAACCACTGCTGGGAGGCTGGACGATGGGGTGGGGGCTGTGAGTGGCTTTCAGGCAGCAAACTGCAGGTCTCTGCCTTCCTCAACATGCGGGAAGCTCAGAAAAAGGCAGCATTGTCTCCCATTAACCTCAAGTTCAGCGTCTTAAGTCCCTGTGTCTGGAGGAGGAAGGTGGACAGTCTTAGGATCACGGTGGACATGGTGGTCCGAGCAGCAGCCAAGGTTATGTCTGAGAGGTTGAGCCCTGATTTCAGATTGTAGACTCTTCTGCAAAGGTCTCAGGGAAACCTGCAAGTACTGAACTGCTGACTGAGGCATGGCTGGACACTCTCGGGAAGAAATAGGGGACTACGATGCTGACCTCCTCCTTCCTACCAGCCTGCCATCTCCGAATGTCACTGGTCAGCGAACACCAGAGGAGTAGCTGAGCGTCCATAGTTGCTGAGACAGGCTATTTTTCCTTCACTGCTGGTCTCGGGTGGGGCCACTCCCATCCCCAGGGAATCAGCTGCCCTGCCCTGGGTTCACCCCAGCTTTTAGTTCTGCATCCCAGTGAAGCTCTTGCCTCCATGTCAAGGTGATGGTAAAACTTGAGGTCTGCTCGTACAAGCGGACAGTGGTGAAGGACCAGCTCTGTGCTGGGAGCTGGGGGACAGGGGATCAGCAGCTAATGCATCCATTCTCTTGAACTTTTTTTTTGGGCTGTCCAGCTCCATTTTTGATGAGCACATTCTTTCCATAAATATTATATACTTGACTGAGTTACATGTAAGTCTTTTTATTGTTGAAATATAGTCAAGTTTTCTATGTTGTGTCAATTTCTGGTGTACAACATAATGTTTCAATCATATAGATACATATATTCCTTTTCATATTCTTTCTTCATTAGAGGCTACAAGATATACTACTATGTAGAGAATAGATGAACAACAAGTTTCTACTGTGTAGCACAGGGAACTATACTCAATAGCTTGCTCTCTTTTTAATATTAAAGCAAACACCATGTGCCTACCATGTGACATGCACAATCTAATTTAGACTCTAGAACAGTAACTGTGATAGAGGTACCATTATTATCCTCATTCTACAGATATGGATACAGGAAGGTCGGAGGAGATACATTTTCACCCGGGTCAACGTGACTCCATGTGTGCTTTTAGATGCTGCACTTCCCTGAGAGGTTGTTGTCCTGGGTCACTGGCAGTCTTCCCTCCCCCTCATCTGGCCAGAGACCTGTGCCCTCTACTACTCTGTGACAACTCCATTAGAAAATCCTCTTTCTATCCTAAACACTGGGGGCAGTATTGATAGGGAGTGGTGCAGCCACTATGGAAAACAGTATGGAGGTTTCTTAAAAAGGAAAAAAACAGTGTTACTATATGATCCAGCAATCCCACTCCTGGGCATATATCCCGAGAAAACTCAATTCTGAAAAGACAAATGCACCCCAGTGTTCATAGCAGCACTATATACGATAGCCAAGACATGGAAGCAACCTAACTGTCCATCAACAGATGACTGGATAAAGAAGATGTGGTATATTTATACGATGGAATACTACTCAGCCATAAAAAGGAATGAAATGCCATTTGTAGCAACATGGATGGTCCTAGAGATTATCATACTAAGTCAGTCAGAGAAAGACGAGTATCATATGCTACTTACATATAGAATAATACCATTGACACAGATGAACTTACTTACAAATCAGATTCACAGACATAGAAAACAAACTTATGGTTACCAGGAGGAAAAAGAGAGAAGGAGGGATAAATTGGGAGTTTGGGATTGGCAGATACAAATTAGTATGTACAGAGTAGACAAACAACAAGGTCCTACTGTACAGCACAGGGAACTGTATTCAATGGCTTGTAGTAACCTGTAATGAAAAAGAATATAAAAAAAGAATATGTGTCTGTATGTGTCACTGAATCACTGTGCTGTACAACAGAAACTAATACAATATTGTAAATCAACTATAGTCCAATTAAAAATGTTTAAAAAATATTGATCGGGAGACAAGCATTTGGTAAATGGTTCAATTAGAAAACATCGATTAAAAGCCAGTAATGCTTCAGATAATCAAAAAATTATAACCATATTCATCAGTTCACTCAGTCCTATGCAGTCAATCCCTTTTACTAACAGTTTTATGAAATCAGAGCTTTCATTAGACTTCTTCGATATCCCAACCAGCTCAGCGGTAGGATTTAAAAGAAATCTGTACTTGTCAGAAAGTCCCCTTTGCCGATTCTCTTGAAGATGAAGCAGTTCTGTAAAGCATCAGCTTAACTGTCTACGGATGACAGAAGGCTGCAAAAGGTGAACACCTGATTACAATTTTTCTTGACAACAAAGCTTAACCAAGTTGCTGCCGTACACCATCTCGAGACAACAACCAGAATTACGACCGATAGTATCACACCAGCATATCTAAATTTCCCAAACTCCATATAATTTCCAGAATGTCCATACCAGCACCATTTACCCATACTGTACAATCCAGAGAGGCTTATCATTTGTTTGACAATGCTTCCCGTGCAATTCAACACACCAGTTGGTTTAACGTTTTCCCCTGAGATGTCTCAGGGCCCTCTGAAGCATCCCAAAGTGAGCTAAAGTCAAAAAAACTTCAATTAGAATTTGATAGAAAGTTTATGCGAAACTTTCTGTTGTCTTTGACCATCTGTTATCAGAAACATCCTAAGTAAACTTGTTCTCTTAAGAGAGGAACCAAATCTGGTCCTGCGCTAGCTTGCTTTCAATAACAAAACCCATTTGCCCACTTAAGCTCAATCTAATATCAGCCCCGCTGTGCACAGAACTCCTTTTTTAGGGCTTCCTTTCCACAAACTTCCCACAACTTTCTGTATCCTATTAGTCTGTCCCTTATTTTTTCCCCCGTCTATAAACAACCAGCTCTAGGACCAAATCATTTGCCTTTCTCTTAACAAAATGCAATTCCATTTCTCTCTCTCTTTTTTTTTTTTAACTCAAAACATACATCCTACTTTCCTACTGTATACTGAAATGCCCCCCTCAAAATTTTTAGTAACTTCAATTACATATTTAATTTAGAATCCTCAGTTCTCAAAATCTTCATTTCTAATAAATGTTTCGGTATCTTATTTTGTTTGGGAATGACCTAAGCTATCCAACTATACAATAAACTTCCATCATTTAATGTAGTTTAGCACAATTCTGAAAATCTAAAATTTCAAGTCACTGACTATCTGGAGAGACCGTTTTTAAGGAGACATTCCAAAAACGTAATTATTTCCAAAGAGTTCACCCAAAAGCGCCTAACTCATTTGCATTTAATTCACTTACAAGAATTTCATCACGCCAAGTTAATTTTTTTTCTTTCTGCTGACAAACTCTGCAACAGAAACATGAACTTACTGACCTTCAGTAAACCGAGGTACAATAAAAAACATGTCTGTATTGATCATACCAAAAAGCTTAAGCTAGCTTTAATATCAGACATCAATTCAACATTGAATATTTCCCAGATCACATGAACCCAAAATTTGCTCTATCATATTTTATACTTAGATATATTTAATTTGTAAGCACTTAGTTTAAAGTCAATTAAATAGAGCTCATTAACAAGTTAATTTTTTACATACAGACATATAGAACCAGAGACCTCACAGCTTTTCCGCTAGAGTTTTTAAAAAACCTCTCCGCCCACCCCCTGAGGCCAGGTAGATCATTCACATCACAGAAGCGCAGGAAGAGAAGTGCAGATCCCCCCTCAAACTGCTTTTACAGCACTCAATCATTTTGGCTTTTCTCAGGGACTTTTTTTTCCAGTTCCCAAATATCTATTTCAATTTAAAGACATAACAGTAATAGACTGTATATCATTCATTCGCACTCACATCCCTCCTTTTCAGCAAAACCAGGAAGAGAGGATTTGGTCTCAGGTACTGAGACAGACAGACACACACAAGACCAAAGCAATTGCAAAAGGCTCACTTTGATATAAAAGCCGAGCCATTAGGGGCCATTGTTCTCTGGATCTCAGGAAGTCCTGAGCCCGCACACACAGCATTACAATAAGAAATATTATTTCCTTTCATTTATGGGAGTATAGCTGAAGATCTCCCAGTTTTGCAAAATATATCCTAGGGGGACTGCAAGATGGAACCGAGCTCTGATAGTGGTACTTAATGATTCACAGCTGATG